TATATCATATTTTTCAGAGTATAAGACGCACCAAGGTTTTGAAGAGGCAATTTTTTAAAAAAGGTTTTTGCACTCTGTAAACCTCCCAAAAACATCCCATTTTTCACGACAAACGGGCCCATTTCTTTCCCCAAAATAGCCTTTAGGGGGCTTGCAGAATGCCCCTGAGGGGGTGGGGGACCCCAAAAATGAGCAAAAACTGGCTCGTTTTTCACAAAAACGGGCCCATTTTTTGTCACAAAAATTGCATGCATAGCCCTTAGGAGGCTTATAGAGTACTTCTGGGAGCTGGGGGTGGGGGGAAATTGAGCAAAAAAATGTCCTATTTTTCACTCATTTCTGCCCTCCCCAGCCCCCAGGAGCTCTCTGAAAGCTTTCCACAGGTTCTGCAGGGGCATTTTGGTGAAGGGGACATGGTTTCGGGAGGCAAAAAATGCTGTATTCAGTGTATAAGATGCACCCCAGATTTTCAGCCTCTTTTTTGAGGGAAAAGGGTGCGTCTTATACTCTGAAAAATATGGTAGACCTAAGGGCTATTGCTATCTTGTCTATCCTCCTCCTTCCCTTCCTCACAGTGGTTAGAATGCAGTATTGCAGGCTAACTGCTCACTGCCATGAGTTCGACCCTGACCATTTGGCTCATGGTTGACTCAGCCTTCCATCCTTCCGAGCTGGGTAAAATGAGGACCCGGATTGTTTGGGGCAAGAGATGCTGACTCCATAACCCACTTAGAGGGGGATGGAAAGCACTTTTCCCAATAGGCTGTGGACCTTACTCCTATTTTGCGGAAGGCAAAAATGAATGCTGGGGAATTTCAAGCATCTGAGCAGAGACTGGAGGCCACATGTCTCAGATTGATCTGCCTGGCCTCCTCCTCCTCTGCCTCATCTATTAGAGCTAAGAAACCCACCCAATTGTCTTCCCGCCCCCCCCTTTCTTTTCCCTCTCCAGCTCCGGCAAGCAGTTCGTTCGCTATATCAACATGCTGATCAACGACACGACGTTCTTGCTGGATGAGAGTTTAGAGTCCCTCAAACGCATCCACGAAGTGCAGGAGGAGATGAAAAACAAGGAGCAGTGGGATCTTCTCCCCAGGGTGAGCTGGATCTCGGGTTTTAGCGGTCCCTGGCTGGGGGATTCTGGGAGTGGAAGTCCACGTGGTTTAAGGTTGCTTAGTCTAGCCTAGGCCACTTTAGGCCTTTAAAGGTCTGAAGCAGTGTTTCTCAACCTTGGCAACTTGAAGATGTCCGGACTTCAACTCCCAGAATTCCCCAGCCAGCGAATGCTGGCTGGGGANTCCATAACCTTTCTTATTGTTTCATCTTCGCTTGGAATTCATTTGTTTTTCCATTTTTTTTCTTACATATTTTTTAAAAATTGGGGTTATCCTTTAAAATACAATCAAAACCAAGGTTTTAGGGAAAGGGAAAAAAGGAAAGGGGAAAAAAAAGCACGGATTTCCTTTTTTTTTTTGGCCCCAGATGAATGGTTGTAAGTTGAGGACTCTCTCTATTTCTTCCTGGCCAGTTGACAGTGTTTTCCTCTTGCGATGGTTTGAGCGCCGACGTTTTTCTCCTGATTACTCAAATCTTCCCCACTCACACTTTTTCTGGGTTTTCCGCAGGACCGTGGAGGATTTGAAGAATAACGAAAGTCAGTGGAAAGATTCTCCTCTAGCTACCAGGCATCGAGAGATGTTGAAGCGATGCAAAACCCAACTCAAGGTTTGTGGCTAACCACTCGCCCGCTTATGGCACCCTCCCGGGGAGGGAGGGAAGGGGGCATAGGGACGGGAAGGCTACTTTTCATGACTTGTTGAGGTTGCGTCGCTTCATTTTGGCTCTCACCGTGTCCTGCCCAGAAATTGGTGCGATGCAAAGCTTGTGCAGATGCCGGCCTGTTAGATGAGAATTTTCTCCGAAGGTGCCTCAACTTTTACAGCGTTGTGATCCAGCTCTTGCTACGGATTCTTGATCCTGCCTACCCTAAGTGAGTTTGTGCGTGCCTACAGATCAGGGGTGGGCTGCTACCAATGGTGGGATTCAAATTGTTTTACTACCGGTTCTGTGGGCAAGGCTTGGGCAGGGCATGGCATGACTTGGTGTGCATGGCAGGGGAAGGATACTGTAAAATTTCCATTCCCACTCCACTGCAGGGAAAGGATACTGTAAAATCTCCATGCCCTTCTCACTCCAGGAGAAGGATACTGCAAAATCCCCATTCTTTCCCACTCCAGGGGAAGGATACTGCAAAATCTCCATTTCCTCCCCACTCCAGGGGAAGGATACTGCAAAATCTCCATTTCCTCCCCA